TGCCCCGGCGCCCTGAGGGAGGCGAGGCGGGTGGTATTTTTATCCATTTCTAAGGGAACCGGTTATTGGGCTTGCGAGCATTTCGTTTCAGAGCCACGGCAGATCTTTTACACCTCTCGTTTCCGTAAGCAGCTCGCTTCTCTCGCCAGTGACCGAGACACACCAGGGTGAGGTAGCTGTGCAGGGTTCCCGGTACCTGGTCCCACTTTTGTGTCGGAAGGGGCTTCCCTCTCTACTTGCGAAGATCCTCGTTGCGAGTACGGTTGACTTTGTACCTGCTTAGGCCTTCGGCCACCCTCTCAGGAACTGGGCCCGACCCCGTGTCGACTGCTCAAGACTTGGCTGTAGTAACTTCCACCCTTCAGGTGCTTGTGGGCATTCGTCTCTCCCCGCTTCTCATCTTTTTTTTGGACGGCGTTTGGCAAAGCTTTACCATCCAAATTTCATTGTTGCTCTTTCTTCAAGTCAGTTCTTTTGCCGTTAACAAATGTAAATAATCATAAATACTCACTATAAGCAAATAAAGGTAAATTATGTGCATAAACTTTTAGTTTATGGGCGCTGGAGTGCCCAGTATTCAGAAATAAAAGCTGCCTGAGGAACAGAAGTCTGCCCTGAAGAGTTATGTTCTCCCCTTATGCATCTGTCTATGACTACGTGCACTGACTGGCGTCTGGTCAAATGATCCGACTGAAACAAGCAACTAATTGAAGTCAAATCAGTAAAATTGCAGTGGCACAACCAAAACCTGAAGAGTGGCAGTTGTAACCGTCAGGCCCTTCAGAACCAGAGACAGCGTAACATTATTTGTGGCAACAACTGAGAAGGGGTTACGGAAGAGCCCTCACATGCCGCTGAGGCGGCGTGGTTCGTGACTGGAGGGGCTTCAAGCAATGTGATAGTAGCAGCACAGTAGTTTTTAAGTCACCTAACCGGGAAAAAAGCACTAGATTGTTAAATGATTGTGCACATACCAGCGTTGCCTCAGATGGCCAAATTGCTAGTTACTGGAAACCTTTAATTACAGAGGTACACAGTGAGTGCATACAGATTAGGGCAACGATTGGCAATCCATATGCAGATGTGGTACAGAATGTTTTTTCTATGCAGTATAAAGAAAAAAAAGGATACGTTTAGGGGATTTGGCAAGGAAGAAAGAAGAGTAAACAGAACAGAAGATCTAAAAGTAATGGGGAATTTGGGAAACACCAGTAACAAACAAGATCAGTTAGGGATGTAATGAAAGCTCAACTTGAGCAGAACTGCTTACGTTTTTATGGTTATTGACCATTACAGACAAAATGTACTCAGCAGAAAGAAACAGCTTTTCCAGTGCAGCAGAACGGCAGGAAAACTGCACTGTTTCGTTACCATGCGTAGATCTGTGCAAGCATGGAACAAAATGAAGCAACCAGACACTGAGGACTACATACAATTACGGACCCTGCATTCCCAACACGCAGGAGCTGGGAAATTTCCTGGGTGAGAAAGCCAAAACAACTCTTCCTGATATACGGACCAGCCAGAAAAGCTGAGTGAAGTACCTGAGTGCGGTGCTCGAGCTGTTGTTTTCAGTCTCACGCTACAACAGGAGCCTTGCCACGCAGGCAGGTTTCATACCAAGCAGCCTAAATTGCCAGGCTGTCAGGACCTTTAGGAAGCCTTTAGACAGGCTCTGCAGAGGGACCTGGGCAGGCGGATCGATGGGCCAAGGCCAACTGTATGAGATTCAACAAGGCCAAGTGCCGGGTCCTGCACTTTGGCCACAACAACCCCATGCATGAACAATTTTATTCGGCTGTTGGTCGACAGCCGGCTGAACATGAGCCGGCGGTGTGCCCAGGCGGCCAAGAAGGCCAACGGCATCCTGGCCTGTATCAGAAATAGTGTGGCCAGCAGGAGCAGGGAAGTGATAGTGCCCCTGTACTCAGCACTGGTGCGGCCGCCCCTCGAATACTGTGTTCAGTTTTGGGCCCCTCACTACAAGAAGGATGTTGAGATGTTGGAACGTGTCCAGAGAAGGGCAACGAGGCTGGTGAGGGGTCTGGAGAACAAGCCTTATGAGGAGCGGCTGGGGGAGCTGGGGTTGTTTAGCCTGGAGAAAAGGAGGCTGAGGGGGGACCTCATTGCTCTCTACAACTACCTGAAAGGAGGTTGTAGCGAGGTGGGTGTCGGTCTCTTCTCCCAAGTAACTGGCGAAAGGACGAGAGGAAATGGCCTCAAGTTGCGCCAGGGGAGGTTTAGATTGGATGTGAGGAAAAGTGTCTTTACTGAAAGAGTAGTTAAACATTGGAACAGGCTGCCCAGGGAAGTGGTTGAGTCACCATCCCTGGAGGTATTTAAAAGACGGGTAGATGAGGTGCTGAGGGACATGGTTTAGTGGGCCTGGGGGTGTTGGGTTGACGGTTGGACTCGATGACCTTAGAGGTCTTTTCCAACCTTAATGATTCTATGACACCGTGTTGTTTCTGAACAGGCGCATCGTGTGTACCTACGAGTTGCCGATTTTTACTGGCTACGCTTGCCCGAAGGTGGTCCCCATCTCCTCCACGCTATTTCAACCACTGGCTGACCCCACGCACTACCCTCCAGGTCAGGCTAACACAACCCGAACAGATACACTCACGGGATTTCTACATTTTCCAGCCAAAATACCATTTGTTGGCGTGTATTCTTAGCTTAGCATTCACCCAGAAAAATGTTTATTTTATGGCTCATAAAGGACTGTGACGGCTGCTTAGGTTTTTTTTGTGGAAAACATCTTGATTGGTCCCCCATAAAAAAAAAATTCTCAGCCAATGTTTGTGTTTCTGCCCCTGGTGTTTTCATCACGGAAACGTGATCAGTTATATGGCCCAAAGACCCTATTTTTTTCACACCAAGTACACGCGAGGTAATACACCACTTTCCAAGTTCATCTTCTTTGTAACGTAATTCTTCTCTTTAGCAAAGACAATGTGAAAAGACAACTTTAACCTCAAAAAGCCTTTACATTTTTAAGGGGTCCGTCTACCTCGAGGCCAAGCGTACCAGGGTTAGAAGCCCCCGTGGGCCGCCGGAGGCCCACACGGCCGGGCTGGGGAACGCCCCGTTACCGCAACCCCGGGGCCACCCTACCGAGGGAGGGAGTCCACGGTAGTGCTCCGAGCACGGACCGATTCCAACAAACGCACGGCGGCCGGTACGCCCGTTTTATTGCCTTATTTTTCAGTGGGGAGTCCTACGAACAGCTGCCCCAGGCGGAACCGGCCGCTGCGCGACGAGCATCGCGGTGCGACCGCCCGGGCCCTTCCCGCTCCGCTCCCCGTGAGCGGGCCGGGGGTGCCCC